CAAGTGAGAGAGCCAGCATTTGTCCTGAGACAATCTTCCTTGGTCACATGGCCAGTGCAACTTAAACACGGAACGCTGTTACCTTCCCACCGAGGTGGTCCCTATTTATCTACTCGCATTTGCATGCTTTTGAACCACTAGGTTGGCGGGAGCTGGGACAAACGACGGGCGTTCATTCAGTCACGTGATTCGATGTTATAGCTGAAGATCTACAGACCTTACAGCACAGAGGCTTCTGCGGTTTAATTCGCAGCGCCACCATGTACAACAGAGATAAATGACAGTAATATACTGTTCCTGGGAAAATCCATTTTTCTCCCATTTACTGTGAAGATTGCAGGTAGGCTCAGAGGGAACAGGAAAACCTGGGAGGAGATGACAGATGATGGCATAATCCCTGCTAGTTAAAAAGTCCCAGAGCTTTGAGCTTTAAATCTCCTACTATTTGGCTTCAGTGAATGGCTTCTTTAGGTTCTCATACTGCATCTGTCTCCTTCACACTATCTATAGTTTCATACATCCTCATAGTGTGCCTTGTTTCTAAGGTAAACTGCTGCAAATGTTGCAGCCTTTCCTCACAGGGGCAGTGATCCCAATTCATTGATAATTTGGCTGCTGCTTTGCAACTGTATAATATACTTAAGTGTGATGACTGGGATCAGGCAGTATTCCAGATTGATCCACTATATATTTGTGTGATGCCAGTTATGATACTGGCAATTTTTCTATTTCATTCCATCACATTAATTTGCTAAATTACTGCTTATCAGGCTTTTATTTTTTATTCAACTGTATGTATAACTGACAGCCATTTTAACAGAATATGACAGATTTATATTAATTATTTAATTCATTTCATAAACAAATGTAAAAACACATCAGCATATGGTTCTGGGGGCCCTGAATGGCCTTAGGCTTCTGGGTTTTTTCATATTTTTTTCCCATTCTTTTTAATCTCTTGCAAAAATGATGTGTGTGTGTATATGTGTGTGTGTGAGAAAAAAGATGAAATAATGCTGTTTCAGACCAACTGTTTGGTATTTTCTGTGTTACATCAAAAGTGAACACGGTTATTTTGGAGGAATTATGCAATCACTCAAAAATATTTACAGACTTTTTTCTGCTCTGCTTCCCAGGAAGAAAGAAGGTGAAAAGCAGAAGAATCGAAGGAGCTCCCCATGACTTTCCACTCAGGGGAATCTTCATCCATAGAGTTCCAAACTGAAAAGGGCAGGACAACCACTGTTCAAATCAGTACAATTTTCAGAGTGTTCGTACCAAGTACATACATAAATAGAAATACAGATGTTAATACCAAGAGATCAGTACCAGTATAGGTGATCAAGCGACTGACTGACTGACTGACTGACTGACTCACTGACTGACTGACTCACTGACTGACTGATTGATTATCCTGCCCTTCTCCTCGAAACTACCCTAGTGTGAACCTGGACACCTCTGTCATCCTGCCAAGTGGCAAGGAGGATTTTATTTGGCAAGAATCAGGTGCAGACTTGTAACAAAACTGATGGTAGAGTATTTGATAAATCTACTGCATAATCCATATAGGTGAGAGATAGGTAATCTGGTGTATTCCAGCTGTTTGGAACTGGGACTTCATTCTACCCAAGTTACCAGGGCCAGTGGTGACTATAGGTGTGGTAGTTCAAAACATTTGGAAGATCTTTGTTTGCCTTCCTCTGGTATGAGCTTTTAAGATCTCCACAGTTCCCAAATACCCCAAAGTGCAAGCAATATAGGCGTGAAATACTTTCATTGGTCTAGACTGGGATAGTTAATCTTCAGAGCCTGGGGAAGTCACCCCTGACCCCCCAAAAAACTTTGGAAGGGCTTCAGCCACTTCCCTGAGCCCCACCTTCCTTTTTTTCCTCCCCTCCCCAAAATGGGTATTTTGAAAATGGGGAAAAATCCTTCGTACCCTTTAGTAGCTAATTTTTAAACTCTTATTTTGGGGAATATGTGCAGACCACCAGGGATACTAGGAAGGTTTCAAAACACATAAAATGCCCTTTAGAGGGCATTGTTGGAATTTATTTTGATGTTGGGCATGTTGGGTGGGGTTGCAGTGGGGCTCAGAAGTATTGGGGGGCTACCTTTAAGCCCTTGGAGGGACACAAATGGCCCATGATCTACATGTTCTTTACTCATGGCCTATACCCACCATAGTCATATGGAATATCTCAAGACACCTACTGTGTTCAGTTGTGTCCATGAAATTACTCGGCAGTGAAGTGGGAGTTTCAGCATAAGCTAATGTTGAGTTCTGCAGACAGTATCTTTGACTGCACTACGTTATCAGCATTACTGCCCATCCCTTGTTCCCTTTGCTCCTATTCAGCATATGTACACTACTCTCTCTTTTTCTTCATTATGTGCCCCTCCTCTCTTTTTTTTGGTCTTTCCCGCCTATTGTTCTCTATGTCACCAAATGCCATTCACTTTCTAAAGATGTCTGGCTTGGAGCTTATATACTGCCATGCAAATAAAGCCCACCCATCAGTGCTGATCCAGTCATATATGCTCAGTCATGCGACAAGGTTGGGATTTTTAGAGCAGGGAGAAAGTAAAGCTCACTTTTTTGCTTCCGAGGGCCAAGTAACAACAGGGTTTCTTGTCTTCAGTGAATCCTTTTACTGTGGTAAGTTGCATGTTTGCTGGCATTGCCTTTGACAGGTATTCTTTTCCTTCTAGAATGCTGAAAATCACACCAATGGGAATTTGAAGATCTCAGAATCTTAGGGTCCAGCTTAGGGTGGTTCCTGTTGCTATTCCTCCCCGTCCTCCATGATACTTCAGGGAGACGGGCAGATAAAGCCTGAGATCATGGCTGTTTTACCAATATCAATGACACATGGAAACCTGTTGGTAAAAACAGCCATAGCATCCTGTTTCACATGTGCAGTTCTGTATGTGAATACTGTATGGCATGGGGAGAGGTGATGGGAAAGAAAGAGAACCACCCAAAATTGCACATGCAAAGTGCCTTGACTTACGACAGGCAACTGGGGCAGGCACGATTTTCATTTTCATTTGTTGACAAATCACACTGATTTGTGCTGCTGAATTCCCTACGAGGGTGATTGCTGTGATGAAATGTACACTGGCTGTGGGAAAACCAACAGGTTCTTCAGGTACACTGTTAAGAGATTCATCAGGACTGAAAGGATAGCAGTGAAGGATAATGTATTGAATCAATGTCTTAGTTCTTGAGTAACAGGTATGAATAGATTCCAAATAATTTCTAGTAGACTGAATACAGAAACCAGTCTGGCCTGGTATAGGATTTTTCTCAACACATACTTCATACTGATTTGCACAATGTATTGTAGTTTTGTAAGGGAAACTAGGAACCAGTTAGCTTGCTACTGCACTGAAAATATAGTGTTGTATTCATTATTGCAGAGGTTTTTCAAAAAAAGAGACAATAAATATTTCTGAAAGTTGTGATCCTGCTACAGAGTATTTTTGAGGGTTTTTTAAAAAATGTTTATCAAGTAGCTTTAAGAAAATTAAGGGGAAACAGGACACAGCATAAAGATAATGAGTTGTTCAAGATTAATTGAGTCAGCTGCTGTCTTTTGGTACTTTGTGCAAAGTACCAATAATTGGCAAAGTACTGGTTGTGCAAATATTTGTACAGCACTTTGAGTGACAGACATTTCATTAAATATCGTAACTGATTGTGCAACAATACGGAAATCCCCAGTAGGAAACTGGTTAACTTTTAAATGAACAATATGCTTAAAAAGTCATATAGATAACACACATATAGAATGTATATGGCGATATGGGGATTGAGGTATTGCCTGCGGCTTTGAATCACATGTGCTCTGAATTGAGGGTTTAAAGATATTGGCCTTCTGGCATGTACACTTACAATAGAGAATGTTGTGATACTTTTAGACTCTGAAATGTAACATATAGAGTCTATATGTGCATTGTGCATAGTGAGTGAATTATCTCAGAGTGTGTATGATGAAATATTGAAATGCAGGTTGCTGTAGTCTGATCCTGTGAACTGATCACAAACCATATGTAGCTGCAAAGTGCTACACCACAATATATGATTATGGCCAATGTGATGCTGGTTGTGATCAAGCAGAAGCTTCCAGGACCATGTGTCAGGTTCCTAACCTTGGTCTGTGTGGCCACTGGACTGATGCTTTAACCAAGATCTTGTACACTATAGAAGCAGTTTGAAATAAACTTACCTTATTTGAGGAATTGGTGGAGGATGGGGAGGACCAGTTCCAAAAAAAATTCCAGGTGGATAGTAAAAACAACAAAGACTCCTGGCCCTTTTGAATGAATCTGCAGTTTTACCATCCTGATACTACTGTAAGTGCCATGGCTCCATCCTATGGAATTCTAGGGGTTGTAGTTTGGTGAGGGACTTAGAATCCTTTGTTGTAGTTCATGGAAGTGCTTTACAGTTCTCAGATGGAGAATTCTAAGCCCATCATCAAATTGCAAAACCCTAGGATTCCACTGGATGTAGCTTTGATGAGTGGCATCAAATTGTCATGTCTGCATAGTGCAGGTACACTCGTAGCAGCAACCCCCAAAGGCTTATGGCAGATAAATGCTATTAGTCCTTAAGGTACCACAAAATTCTACATTGTTTGTAATATGTGGCCCCTAAGTGAGGAGAATATGGGATCTATCTATGAAAGCAATTAGGAAATTTCAGCTCATTTTTTTTAGAGGCAAATGGAGAATAGCTGCATGGCTTTGCACTCACTGCTATATCAAAAGTGTTGTTTATCTTCAGCAGCCTTCCTGGTTTAGAGTTTGCAATCCAGAAGTGAATATAGTATATTCTTGTGCCTTAACAGAGGAAGTGTCAAACTTCAGTGACTAATTTATGGAACTGTATTAACTTCCTCTTCACGAAAATTAATAGGGAAGATGTGGAAGGTATGTCCAGAATGTATTTAAAGCCACCATATAATTTAATCATTGTTTTTCTTTTAAAACAGCCAACCAGAAATGGGTGATTGGAGTTTTTTGGGCAGCATTTTAGAAGAGGTGAATGAACATTCCACTGTCATTGGCAGAGTCTGGCTTACTGTACTCTTCATTTTCCGAATCCTGATCTTAGGAACTGCGGCAGAGTTTGTATGGGGAGATGAACAGTCAGACTTTGTGTGTAACACCCAGCAGCCGGGTTGTGAAAATGTCTGCTATGATGAGGCCTTCCCCATTTCCCACATCCGGCTATGGGTCCTGCAGATCATCTTTGTCTCCACTCCATCACTAGTTTACTGGGGCCATGCTGCTCACCATGTAAGGATGGAAGAGAAACGGAAAGAACGGGAAGAAGCAGAAAAGGCTCGGAAAGCTGAAGAAGAAGAAAACGATCACTCACCCCTTGGTCCTAATAGCCCTATTTCCAGCAAAGAAACAAACTCCAAGGGAATCAAGAAATTCCGCCTTGAGGGGACACTTCTCAGAACCTATATCTGCCATATCTTTTTCAAAACCCTGTTTGAGGTTGGCTTCATAGTGGGACAGTACTTCTTGTATGGCTTCCGAATTCTTCCTCTTTACCGCTGCGGCAGGTGGCCATGCCCCAACCTTGTAGATTGCTTTGTGTCCAGACCTACTGAAAAGACTGTTTTTATCGTGTTTATGCTGGCTGTGGCATCTGTCTCCCTCTTCCTCAACCTTGTGGAGATCAGTCACCTGGGTCTTAAGAAGATCCTCGGTGCCTTCAGGAGGCCAGCAGAGCTCAAGTCTGAAGAGGCCACGGAGAAGCCCCTTCACTCTATCGCTGTTTCATCCATCCAGAAGGTAAAAGGTTACAAGCTTTTGGAGGAGGAAGAGAAGCCGGCATTCCACTACTTCCCTTTGACAGAAGTGGAGGTGGAAACTACACCTGTTTCCCCTCCATTTCATGACTTTGAGAAGATCAGCATGGAACACCTGAAACACATTTCTAGGGCCTTTGATGAGCAGTTACCATCCTATGCTCACAGAGAAGAGCCATACGAGGAGAAAAGAGAAATGGCTGAAGCACCAGAACGGGAAGTGGCTGAGGAGGCCAAAGAAGAAGTGGAAGCTGAAGAAGAAGAAGAAGAAGAAATGGTGGAACAAGCAGCAGAGAAGGTGGAGGAGCCGGTAGAAGACATCCCTGTGGAGAAGGATCAAGAGCTTGAACCGCAAGAAGAGGATTTGACAGTACCATCTGCTGAACTTACAGCTGACACAAGATCCCTTAGCAGGTTAAGCAAAGCTAGCAGCCGGGCCAGGTCTGATGATCTGACTGTATGAGGGTAGTGGTGCTGACCAAGCCACACCCACAAATATCTCAGAAATCTTAAAGTGCTAAACCGGTCATTTTCATATTGTTTCTTATCAAACCAGAAAGGTGCTAAGCAATTTTAACTGCCTTGTCAGTCCTGTTTGTTCTTCAACAGGTGCTAGGTGTCCTCTTGCTTCAGATGCATATGCCTCACTACTGTAAAGTAAATGTGCCATATACAATACTGAACATCTGGGGAAAACCTTCCCAGAGAAACAAGGAAAACAGATGTAGCAGCTGTGGTCACATCCAGTTTTGCATTCATTTTTTCTCCAGCAATGTGGGAAATATGTATCTTTTTTTTATTATACCAGCCATTGACGAACTAATAGCATGTGTATTTATTTGTTAATTGTGTATATATTTTCAGCATGACAATCCTGGTACTCTCTCCCACACTGGCCTTAAACTTAGGATGGAATTAAACATTATAGATAGCCTATGATCAGAGTGATTAGAGCTAAGAGCACATTAATGTTGGAGTTCAGGATGCAGCAGACTTTTTTTTTTGCTTTGAGACATGACATGCTTAGTTTGCAAACTGGGCAGGATGGGAAAATCTGCTACTGTGCATTCAACTCTTTGAGCAGTGAAGGAATCTTCTCTTCTAATGATGGATTATCTATAATATCACTTTATGTCTTTATTATCTCATAAAAAGGGATACTAGCAATGAATACAGTTTTGTTCTGCAGAGAGGTCCAGCTGAAGAAGAATAAAAAATAATAATGTAACATTTGCTTTTCAACACAGTATGGTCACTTAGGGTATGATCAAACAGGTGCAAAGGCATTTCTGATCACACCGGAAAGGGCTGGTTTAATGGGAGTTATCTCCCTTAAAGTAATCCTTCTGTCTCTCAGGAAATCAGCCTGGCCCTCTATAGCAGTGGTCCCCAACCTTGGTGCTCTATAGTAGAAGCCCTACAGCTGGACCAAAAAACTCCAGCTTGGGAATTGATCAGGTTCAGGGTAGAGCACATTGCCCTGTCCATTATGTGATCACTTGGAAACAGACCACACTGGATTGCTTCACAAGCTATTGAAATTGTGATCTGTTTCCCCATGTGATCACAGCCTTCTATTTACAATCCCACTGTGCTGTAGTTCAGGTACTTGACATTTTGTCTATGCATTGCGATACCATTAGAATTATTGAACCTAATACGTGGCCTTTAACTCCTCCACAGACACACCTGTAGATTCCTAGGAATAAAATATATCAAAATAAAATATTTTCTTTTAAATACTGTAAGCCACCTTGGTTCCTTTGGAAGAAAGGCAGCAGATAATAAATAAATAAATAAATAAATAAATAAATAAATAAATAAATAAATAAATAAATAAATAAATAAATAAATAAATAAATAAATATTTT